AGTCTTAGTGAGAATATCCCCTCCTGGGCATAGAGACTCAATCACCCTCTGGCTATCTGGGGAGAGGGCACTGTAGAAGTTCCCCACTGTGAATGCATCGCTGAAGCCATGATGGGGGCACTGCTAGAAATAGCCCATGTACCGGTCCCATGCATCACGAAGTGACTCATCTGGCTCCTGGCGGAAGTGAGTGATCTCCCGCTGAATCTCTGTAGTCTTCGATGCCGGATAGTACCTGCGCACGAATTTGTCAGCCAGATCGTCCCAAGAGGTGATGGACAATGGGGGCTGGGTCTCCAACCACCTCTTAGCATTCCCCGCCAAAGAATGGGGGAAGAGATGAAGGCGGATCGCATCATCCGGGACACCATTCAGCTTGAACCCGTTCGTCAGCTGCAGAAAACGGGAAAGATGTACCCTGGCCTCCTCATCCTTCAAGCCATGAAACTGGATAGAGGATGTGATGAGCTGAATCCAGCATGGCTTGATCTCGAAGTTGTTTGCTGGGATAGGCGGGTAGAGGATGACCGGGCGGATGTCAGCAATCCGAGGAGTGTAGTAGTACTCCAAGGTGGGACCCGGCTGCGGTGGATGGTGAACTCCATGATCCTGGGGTATGGGGTTATTCCCCAGGACCTGATTCACCGGGGGAGCCTGCTGAGGATTCCCCTGGTGTTGATTGTACTCTTCCATCCCGTACTCTTCTTCAGAATCGCTACTCAAGTGGTCGTCCAGGCGCTCTTCCGTAGCCAGTCTAGCTTGCTGTTGTTTCCTGAGCTGGCGACAGGTGCGTTCAATCTCTGGATTCAACGGCAGTAAACCTTCTGACTGGCTACGGGTCATGCACTACCTGCACACACTCAAGCAAGCAAACCCGTGAAGGCACAAGTGGGACAAAGCAAACAAAGCAAAAAGAAAAGCTAAATTAACAGAAATCACTTTTCTTCAACAACCTAGCCGTCCCCGGCAACGGCGCCAAAAACTTGACTCGACTCTACTGTCACTCCAGGAATTGGCCAAGTGAAACCACTTCCTAAAGCGTAGTATAGCGGGTTTGGGTTTAATTATCAACCCGGGTCCTAGATTTGATGACTACTCAGTGAATTCTTGTTATCTAGCAATGAAACTGGAATGCAAGTCTAACTAACAAACTAACAAAGCAAGTAAACTGTTGTATTCAGGTTAAGAGAGGTCACCCGGATATGGTTCCCCCTAGACTGCAATTAAGCCGGATTGTAATTACCAAGTTCAGTTTCTATGATAGTTTCTATGATAGTTCAGTCTCGACTAAAGGTCTTCAGACCCTCTCAATCTGAGTCTCTAGCGGGCGACTAACCTCCACCGGAGTAAACAGATTGAGGCCCTAAGAACAAAACCTCCACTACCGGAGTAAATCCGGTGCAGAATAGTGAGTTGCTTCCTCGACTAAAGTCACCAACTCCCTATCTTCAATCAAGGATACTCTATTAACCTAGTCAGATATTCTCATTCTAGGTTAAAGCAGAAACAACAGGAATTTGATCAGGATTCAAGTCATTCAATCATTCAAACCTCAATCGAATATAATCAATCACAGAATCAGTACTTGGGTTCATACAATCAAACCTAACATACAAATCTAGGGTTCTCCATACCCAGATGAATGGGAGAACTACTCCATGGAGAAGAAAGCAAAAGCAGAATCAGACGCGGAATTCATACTGTGAAGGATGGATTCCTGCTCCTGGATGTTGATCGGCACTTCTCCAAGCTCAAACTGACCTCCAATGGTGTTGAAGATCAATCTAGGGCACTTGGGAACTCTTGCTCGTCACTTTCTCTCTCTAGGAATCGTTCTATCTCTCAAAAACTCGAATCCCCTTGACTTGTGGCTGAAAATCTGCTTAAAAGCATCAGTGGCCAAAGCACGGTCGAGGACACGGCCGTGCTTTGCCTGAGTCCGCCTGTGTCTCGGCCAGGTTTAATTACACGGCCAGTAGTTGGGAAGAAACACGGCCGTGCTTCGCGTTGGATACGGCCGTGTAATGCTTGAACATGGCCGTGCTTTGTCTCGGCCCTGCCCGTGTAATCAGCTCAGCTCTCGGCATAAAAAAGCACGGCCACAGGAACACGGCCGTGTAATGCCTTAGGTGTGCCCGTGTTTTGGCTCCAGCTCACCGAAATGACTTCCGAATGCCCCGAAACTCGCGCTTAGCCTTCCCTTTGACACCTGGGACCTGAAACATGACAAAATAGCACAACCCGGCGTAAAATAGGCCAAAACACACGACTATGCCCCTCAAACGGATAAGAACTAGGGGCGCAAACATGTGCAATTACATCGTTATCAGGGAGCTGATTTAAGATTTCCTAGATCAAAACGTTTGAGCATGTTGACCAGATACTTTGACTGATTGATAAAAATTCCGTGAGGAGTCTGTTTAATTTGCAGCCCTAGAAAATAGTTGAGTTCCCCCATTAAACTCATCTCAAAGGCTTCCTTCATTTTTGACTCGAATACCCTACACAGACTTTCACATGTAGCCCTAAAGATGATATCATCAACATACACTTGAACCAGAAGGATATGATTGTTTAGTTGTTTAATAAACAGGGTTTTGTCCACCAGACCTCTCCTAAAACCATTTTCTAACAAAAAAGAACTAAGTTTGTCATACCAAGCTCTTGGAGCTTGTTTTAGACCATACAAAGCCTTTTTTAATTTATAAACATGATTAGGGAATCTATGATCTTCGAATCCTGGAGGTTGAGACACAAAAACTTCTTGTTTTAACTCCCCATTGAGAAAAGCACTCTTAACATCCATTTGATATAACTTAAAACGTTTTGAACTAGAAAAAGCACATAGCAGACGAATAGCTTCTAGACGAGCTACAGGAGCAACAGTTTCTTCATAGTCTATCCCTTCCTCCTGGCAGTACCCTTGAGCAACTAATCTAGATTTGTTCCTAACCACAGTTCCTACTTCATCAGATTTGTTTTTTTATATCCACTTAGTACCTATTATTACTCGATTTTCAGGTTTAGGAACAAGTTCCCACACATTGGCACGCTCAAACTGGTGCATTTCATCAAATAGAAGTAGTCCAGAACTCATCTTGAAGAGCTTCATGCACATTTCTTGGTTCAACTAAGGACACATAAGTAGGGATGGCAATGGATCGGGTTGGGGCGGGTTTTGTCAAACCCAAACCCAAACCCATGAGTTCATCCGCCAAAAAAACCCAAGGTAAAATCCGTTGGGTTTGAAAAACTCATACTCAACCCAACCCACTGGGTATCCGCGGGTTCATGGGTACCCGTGGGTTTTTGTGGTAAAAAATTTACAATAACAAGTTTCTTTCAAAATAAAAGTTGAACATTAATTTTCTCGTACAAATTATTCATACAAAAAACACCAATCTAGAGCATACAAGCAAACCGCAAATGATCAATACAAATTGTTCAAAATTAAAGATAAACATCTATAAACAATAAGATTAATTGAAAGCTTCTTACTCGTCAACTAAGTTTCTTCACTCTCCACTTCATAATATCAACTTCATTCTAAACAATTAGAAACAACAAATTATATATGTCTCCACAAACATATTGAATATTAATTGTTTAAGGAAGATATATTATTTAGAGTATTAAATATACCGGGAAAGTAATTATATGTGTGTGGGCGGGTACCCATGGGGCGGGTTTACCTAAACCAAAACCCAACCCGACCCAGTGAATAGTGTAGCGGGTTTAAACCCGAACCCGGCCCAAAACCCGTCAACACGGGTTTTATCCACGTTGACCGGGTTGGGTCGGGTGGGTACCCGTGGGTTCGGGTTTTGTTGCCATCCCTACACATAAGCCACAGTAGATGGTAAGGTCTTCGATCGAGTAATCATACCTTGATTGATGCTTCCTATGATTTGTTCAGGGGGATTACGTCTCACAATGTAAGCTGGAGGATGAATATCTGAGTCAGCTGCTTTGGTCCTTTCTTCTGGTTGCATCTGGATGTCTTCAAGATTATTAGTTGCTTCTTCTAGCTGTTGAACAGTCTTAACACCATCTTCTTTGTTTGCTGACTGCTGCCTTCCAAGTCCAAAATCATCATCATCATAGCTATTTGTTCTTACAACAACAGATTCATCAAAAATTACATTGATGGACTCCTCAACTCTGGGGGTCCGTTTATTGAACACACGATAAGCCTTGCTAGTGTTAGAGTATCCTAAGAACACAGATTCATCAGATTTTGAGTCAAATTTTCCCAGGTGCTCTTTCGTGTTCAATACAAAGCATTTACAACCGAAGGTGTGAAAATAACCTAGATTAGGTTCTCTTCCCTTCCAGATTTCATAGGGAGTTTTGTTAACACCTGCTCTAATTAATGTTCGATTTACAGTATAGCAGGCTGTGTTAATAGCCTCTGCCCAGAAATACTTAGGAATACCATAGTCATGCAACATAGTTCGTGCAATGTCTATCAGAGTTCTATTTTTCCTCTCCACAACACTATTCTGTTGTGGTGTTCTCGGAGCAGAAAAATTATGAGAGATACCTAAATCATTGCAATACTGTTCAAATGAATCAGAGCAGAATTCTCCTCCATGGTCACTTCGAATGCTACACACCCTAGCCAATTTTTCATTCTCAATTCGTTTGACCAGAGTTCTAAATTTTTCAAAGGCTTCATCCTTCTTACTAAGAAACAATACCCAGGTAAACCTAGAGTAGTCATAAACTATAACGAAGGCATAGGAATTTCCACCATAACTAACCACATTTGTAGGTCCAAATGAAGTAATTCTAGGGGCCTTGAAGTAGAAATGACAGATTTAGATTTAAAACTAGACCTGGTTTGTTTACCCTTGGCACAAGCATCGCAGAAAAAGTCCTTTTTATCATTTATTTTTGGAATACCTTTGACTAAATTTAGACGAACTAATTTAGACAAAACACTAACATTAACATGACCCAGCCTTCTATGCCATTCTTCCTGATCGCTTTTATCTAGACTAATCAAATAGGCTTCATTGAAACTATCCGTGTCGTTTAGATCAATAGTGTAGATTTTCCCATTTCTTTTTCCAATAAACACTACTTGTTTATTCTGAATGTTCTTATACGGTTACTGTTTGCTCCAACCAGTTGGCCGGGTAGTTTCATTTTAATCTATTCTCAATTTGCTAAGACTATCTCCAAATGACCAGGGACGGAGCCAACATATACAAAGGGGGCCATGGCCCCTCCTAACGGTGAACATATTGGTAGTTTCACTAAATTGAAATTACTTGAGCCGTTGTGGTTCAGATGTCAATTCCTATGCTCTTGGGTTGAAGAAAGTAAGGATTCGATGGCCTCTACCTCTTTTATATTATTCCTTTAACTTTCATAAAATTTGTTCTTCTAATTTCTAAATGTTATGTGCAAGTTTGTGTTATTTTCATAATATCTCTTGAGAGTTATTTCCTTTATTTGTGGTTTTAAATTTTTTAATTCATAAAGAACTATTATTTAACATTAGTTTTTAACTTATCAAATAAAATAAAGAATTTGACGATACTAAGGACATAGGTATGTAAAATAAGTTAATTTACTGCTTAAATTTTTTAGAGAAATATATTTTGGAAAAGTTTATATATTTTCGTAAATATTTCTTATAATGTCAAATTATCAAAGAGATTATGCATATATGTTACTCATAAAAGAAAGATATTGTCCATAATTTTTAGGGTATGCCTATTATGACATGCATGTCACCGTGACATGGACTTTTCGGTCGACCTAATCTTGAAGGCGATCGACCGAATTGACTAATTTGGGCAGCACGAGAAAGCATTGCGGTCGACCTCAAAGAACACCTAGTCGACCATTCTTAGTTTAAGTTGTTATTATTGGTCGACCAGAATAAACCTCGGTCGGCCATTTCGTTGGCGTCAGAAACAACATGGTCGACCGTAAAGGTATATAGGTCGACCACTTGATGGCAGTCATTAACAACATGGTCGACCGTAAAATGAAGATCAAGTGTTGGTTTCGTGGTCGACCTAATCCGGTAAGAGGTCGACCGAATACAAGAAAATCAACCTATGCCCCGTGTCTTTTTTGCTTATGTATGTCGATTTGTGTGGTTCTTTTGCTCGCATAAATTATGTTTCAAATCATCATAACTAGTCATAAATAATTATAACAAGGACTCATCAATACATAGCATAACAACTAAACAAACTAATAAAAAATACAATAAAACAGAAATCATAATTGTTCACACATAAAAAAAACTAAAACAACAGAATAACAATCAACAATCGTTTTGACCACTTAACAATAAAAACACACAATCTAAAATCTTTGAGTTCCTACTCATGTCCCCTCTCTCCCTCATCCACATTTTCTTCATTGGTGTTGCTAGCATGAAGGTGGTCGGATGTGGGGGGATGCATGTATCTTCCGCTGAAAGATCGCCACTCATCTCGCATCTCATTCACGGTCACCTGCATTGTGCTCATCTGGGAGGTCATTTTCCCCATGTAGTAGTACATGCCAGTCATCTGGCCCATGTACTCGTACATGCCATCCATGCCCTCCCACACACGCTCTAAGGTGACCGGTGGAGTTGAACTCTGTGCATGCGGCATGGGCTCGTCTCCGGCTCCTTCATCACAATCACCATCATCATCCTCATCATCATCATCATCATCAACACCACCATGGGCACCATGAGCATCGTTTATTCGAACATACTCACCATTACGCAGTTCAAAGCGCATCTTTTTCAGATATGAAACTATATAGAACTCCTGCCTTGAGATTCTTAACCCCACCTCACCACTTAAATCCACATGAAAATGCTTAAATAGAAAAGTCAGGATCATCCCATATGGAAGATTCTTGTTTGAACTCTCAGCAGCAGTAAGCATGTGGTTAAAGATCAAGTATGACAAGTTCACCTTCTCCTCTAACAGTAGGTTGGTGAGGATATCCAAGTCGAAGTAGGTGAATGCCGCCCGATGTCCACCCTTTGGCAGAATGTTGTAGGAAAGCATGTAGTGAAGAACTCTGGCTTGAACTGTCAGGTGGTTACTCGTTGGCCTACTGCGACCCTGAGCATCTTCCTTTTCATCAAGACCACATACCATCTGGATTTGCTTGGTTCTCGAGAAATGAGTTTCATTCCAAGCAGTGTAAGAATGGATTCTCTTTCCCTCGTTTAGAGCCTCTAGTAGTTGCGCCAACACATTCTTGCTGATGCGCATCTCCACCCCATTCATATAGATTTTAAATGCATGAGTGGAACCATTTGCATTACGCTGGTAGACGATGTTGTTGTAGAAGTATTGTACCATTTTTGGGTAGCATGGTACATTCAGAGATATCACCTTCAACCACTCTTGCTCGACAAAGGGTTCTAGAACAGGGCGTTGGAGTTATACCGTCAATTGAATGGTAGAACTTTTAATTTTATGCACTGTTGGATTGTCTTAAACGATGAAGAGAAATGGAGTAGTCAAAGCAACTCATCTAATGCACCTGATGGTAATGAACGTAGCGGAACAAAGAGGAATAAAAATACTATGTTAGGCCAATACACTGCATCATCAAACAATACAAGCATGCCTCCACCAGGGGAGTCTGACACTATGTCACATCACGTCCCCCGGGAAGGAAAGTTGCAAAAAATAAAATGCACCTGATGGTAATGAACGTAGTGGAACAAAGAATACTATGTCAGGCCAATACACTGCATCATCAAACAATACAAGCATGCCTCCGCTAGGGGAGTCTGACAGTGTGTCACATCCACGTCCCTCGGGAAGGAAAGCTGTAAAAAATAAAAGGGAAGAAAACATCTATGTCAACTGACACAGTTGAAAGTATGGAAGCTGCAGTGCAACAAAAGATCAACATTGAAGCAGGAAAATTAGAGGCGATGAGAGAGTTCACGGCTACGCAGATCAAATTACAAGAGGAACGAGAGAGGAAACGAGAAGAAAGATTGAGGCAAAAAGAAGAATATAGACACAAAAAAAAATTGACACTGAAATTAATTGATATGGATTTATCAACGAAGTCTGCAGCACAAAGACGACTATATGAAAGGAAAATTAACCAACTACTCGAAGACGCATGATTTATATTCAGGAATTTGATATTTGTTTTGTTTCGACCTAGCATTTCTTATTATATTTTGTTTTGATAGTTGATTCATATAATTTTTTAATAAAATAAAAATAGTATATTTATATTATTTCAGTGCATATTTCAATTAACTTAGATAATCAAATTTTCCATTTTCATTATTATCTATAAAACCACATCATTAATGTGTGAGGTTTTATCAAAGATCGAGATACTGTACTGGAAGTCGTACCAGAAAGTCAGGAGTATGGTATTTTATGCTAAAATTGTGGTTTGACTGTGGTTCAATCGCTTCATACTGTTCACTACCGCCTACCGATTTCGCTTCTGATAGTATGTTTTTCAAGTCGAATCGCCGGTGCAGTACAGTGTTTAAATCATTGGATTTTATTATCAAATGTATTTTGACTTAACGATTGACTATAAAAAAATTAGTGAATCAATTAATATACTGCAAAGCATAAAAAAATGTTGGAGCCCGCACAACAAAATTACTATTTATGGGACTACATATTTTTTATTCAAATATATTCCATAAATTAGCAAAGAAAATTTAAAAAAGAAGAATGAAAAGGGACGTGCATTGCAAAGTGAATTTCATTATTTGAAAGCTTGCATATTTGCCAGTGGTTGCCACATCCGTGCAATAGTATATGCAATTGCCACGTAGATGGACACATAGATTTGCAATTGAAATGAAATTGGCGATGGAGATGCTCTTATATTGTTCATATATTTATAACTTTTATCAAATCTCATCTAACATATGAGCATGGTCCAGGAAATCGAATCGTACTGGTCGGTTGAACTGGAAACCAGACCAGTGACGAAACGGTACATCAAGTGTAGGGTGGAAGAACCTGCCGACCGCCATTGGCAGTCGTACCAGCCTTCCGCGAGATCTCGGGCGGTTTTAACAAAATCGGTGGTTCCTTCAATTCTCGTGAAGCGACGCCATTTTGGTTATGTCCCGATATCAAAAATGAAAAACGGACAAAGAAGCATCACGGACTCCAAAAACCTTAGGTCGTCGGTTGCATACCCCGCCATCGTTCGCTTCTCCCAGCCGAGCTCGATAACGAGAATGGTCAATGGTACATATTCGTCTTCCTAGAGACCACACTATTCATACTCAAATTAGGTACATCTGCAGAATCATGAATAGATTGTTGTTTACTAGTTTAAGTTGGGGTTTGAATCTGATTAACCATCAATTATTTATTGCATATGGAATTGTGTACTGTAACTTAGGAATTGTGGATTAGAAATAATTGATACTCTAATTTGATTAGGAACAGATCACTGTAAAATAGTTTGCGGGTTGCTGGTATTGGTATATGATTATATGTTGATATTTTATGATGTTATCCGGTATTTTCCGATATTATTCCGGTATCACTCCGAAAAGGTTTTATGTTTTCGCCGGTATGGTTTTTTTACAAAAAAATATTTTACTACTACAAAAAATGGTATTTACCGGTACAAAACGATTGAACCACGTTCGTGCCACAAAATATCCTATCAAAATCAAATCCGGTATTATGTCCGGCACGGTTTCCTGAACCATGCATATGAGTAATAACATTACAACAAAATAACATGTCGTATTTGGATCCAAAATATAGAGGAAATTCACACACTTATATAATATCAATATTCAAATATTCAACTTAGAATTCCAAAAATGAGGTTAGGCTAAGAGGAAAACCAAAATATAGGCGCATTTCGCAAATCGAAAGAAAAAATGACACCGTTTCACCTCCAATCAGGTACCTCGCAACGGGTTGACCCACTGAATGTGTGTGACCCATTTTTTTTATCAGGCCAAGGTCAAAGTGAGTCAACCGATGGATCGACTATGGTTTCTCAGGAGAAAAGTGAGGTTATGGTTTTGGTGTAGGATCCAAGGGATCTAGATCAGTTATGGTTTGTTGAAAATTTGTAAGTACCTAGTCTTTTACCCGAGGCTTCGATTTGGTATAGGTTTTCTTTTGATACCTTAGTTCTTTAAACAACACATTGTTATTTGGTCTCATGCCTAGCAGACAAGGCTGTTGTCAGCAACCCTTTTTGATGAAGTGAAAGCAACCGATTTATAAAAAGAAAATCCATATGCAACTAGCTACTGTACAACCCAACACTCTCGAAACCCTTTTTTTTTTTTGGGTAAGCACAGAACATGCCTTTAGTTAGCATGGAGTACAATAATCTTCGGGAGCAAATGTAAACTCAGTAAGAAAGTGATTAGAATCCACCGATACACAAATCCCAATAACTTAAATCATTGAGAATAGTTGGTTTATAACTTGATATCAGAGCCAGTTTAATAGTGAGGTCAACTATTCAAATCCTCATGATACAATTTCTTAAACCAAATGATCCCAATCAATGCAGCCAAAAGCGTGATTCTAACTAGAAGCGGAAAAGGGATAAAATTGTAAAGCATAGAATTAAAGCGTAAAAGTGTTAATTGTTTTTGCATACTTAAAATATCTAAAATTATGTTAAGTAGGACATATATTATGTAAAATATGAGTGCAAAGAATTTAGATAAGTTAATGAATATATGCAATTCATGTCTAAAGTACAACAACTCATAGCATCTTAACGGTAAGTTCATAAATATTGATCTTAACAATAAGCCACCTTCCCTTCTATGTTAATGAATTTGGGTTGGGCCAAGCTAATGACTTAGATTACTCTATTGAAGCTCAGAATGCATCCAAAAACCTAAGGGTGTTCAAATGGTTAGCATGTTAATTAGCAAACCAAATAAGGCTAAATTCTATTAATCATGGAATACAATATCATAACCAAAACCGTCTAAACTAATACAACAACCAAATTAACCAAACTAAACTTTAATCAGTTTGATTAATTGGTTAACCAAAATAACCAATATACCATTATATTATTATTAAGTGACAAAATTTTCCGGTTAGTGAATCAATTCACAATTTATATAATGAATAACAATCAACACAAATTTATAGTTAATCCTTAACATAAATACATGTAACTAATACAATTATCTTACATTTGAATCTTGAATGGTTACGCAAAGTATTAAGTATGTGTATATAATATATTAGACATATAGCTAAATATTTAACTAGTTAATTTGATTTGATGATTAGCAGTATCTGAAACCAACCACCTAAACCAAACAAGTTAAAAACTTTAACCAAACAAAACCAATTATACAAATTAACAAAACCTAATTATCCAAATACTACCCGTTAAAATGATTACCAAGGTAAACATACCATTTGAACATCCCTACAAATACCTGGTATGTATCTTTTAATCTCAAATGTATCATATTGTTGGTGATATACATATGCCTATGGTGACTTGCAAGTCACTATAACTTGGAGAAAGCGATCGGCCTCTTCCATTAAGTGGTTGACCACTTTCCAAGAAAATGTTCGACCTCTTTCACGAATTGCTCTACCACTTGAGTTATCTGGTCTACTAAATCCGAAAATTGGTTGACCCGATGGCACACTTACGTTTAAGTGATTGATCTCTTACACCAAGTGGTCTACCACTTGTGGTGACCTCTTCCACCAACTGGTAAACCACTTTTCAAGAAAATGGTTTACCACTTTCATCAAGTCGTCTACCACTTGAGGCAACCGCTCTACCGCTTCTGGCAGTGGGTTGACCTGTGACACTCTTACCTTTAACTTACACCTGTTTGTTGCAGAAGTTAGACCGCTTCCGCCAAAAAAGCCTACCAATTTCAGAAAATGGTTTACATACCTATTTCGACGAACGATCTACGCTTTCAGCGAACAGTCGATCATATGACACAATTACATTTTACTTACATTAGGAAAAATAATGGATAATAGGTGACCAACAATATAATTTTTTTTCCGGTAGTAACGCATCATCCTATCACATGTGGGCAACCAAATGCCTACACAGATTATAGGCCAAGGCAAAAAGAAACACTCTCTTTTAACTCTTCTGGAATAAAAATCCACAAAAGCGATGATATGAGATTTATGGACGTTGAAAATGACAAAATTGTATTAAAAAAATATACTCTGCTTTTTGAGCTTCTTTGGGATCATTTGGTTTTGGTGATTGTTTTGTTGAGATAGTTACAATGCATGCATTGTCCACAATGCATTGTTTTTTTGAAGTTTCTGCACAAACAATACATGCATTGTTTGCTTGATGTGACACAAACTATCACTCAAAATGAGTAATAGTTAAATTTAAAGTTTTTGGCGAGATCTTTTGATTAAGATTGTTGTGTATTTTTTTCTTCCAACTATGTCCATACCTTTTTATGTGTGTTGCTTTTATATATTAAAAAAAAGGCACAAGTGACATTTCACCAAAATCTTATTTAAATAATACAATAACTATCACATAAACCAATCGATGTAAACTACAATAAACAAATTTTTGTATATTCAAGTATATTATTATGCATGTATTGATGACAAATCTACGAGAGACCAATCAATAGAGAAACTTGCCATCTATGCTTGCAGCCTTTATACTAATTTTGAATCTCTTACTAGCAAGTAAGCTTATCTATTGTCATTGGACTCTAATTATATATGATGATACCACTAGCAATGGTTCATCAGGTGGACCAATTATTGAAAGAGGTAGACCACTTGATGGAAGTGGTGGACCATTTTATTTGTATAGTGGAAGACCTATAAAAGAAGGCAAATAAAGAAATAAAGAAAGGATTATGAAAGGCGAGTGAAAAATGAGACGAAAATGAGTCGTGTGTGGAGTCGTGTGTAAGCTTTTAAGCTTTAAAGCTAAATTTAGTCTTATTTTATAAGCTAAAGATTTTATATGGAAACGAAAGCGTTTTGGTGACTTAGAAGCGTAAAACCGTAAGCATTTAAATTTTAAAAGGCAATTTTGACTGTATTGATTTCAATAACTCGAGTTATTGTAAGAGGTCAATGTATGATACTTCACCACT